AGGTGGGTGGGTGGGTGGGTGGGTAGGTAGGTAGTGTGTATGTATATATATATATATATATATATATATATATATATATATATATATATATATATATATATATATATATATATATATATATGGGTTTTAACATCCCCAAACCACCATATGATTATGAGAGATGCCATAGTGGAGGGCTCCAGAAATTTCTACCACCTGGGGTTCTTAAAGGTGCACGCAAATCTGAGCACACGGATCTACATTTCCGCCTCCATTGGAAATGCAGTTGCAGCAGCTGGGATTTGATCCCGCGGCCTTCGGGTCAGCAGCTGAGTACCTTAGCCACTAGACCACTGCGGAGGGCATTATTTACCGTAATTACTCGAATCTAACGCGCACCTTTTCTCCGGTTAAGCGAGTTCATAAATTGCATGTGCGTTAAAATCGAGTACGAACAAAAAAATTACGGCCAATCTATTGCCATCGGCAAATCTAAAACGGCCGCCCCCTACGTGCGTCGGCATGGCGCGTCGTCCATTTCTGCCTATGTGTTTCTCATGTGCGGCACTTCGTACGTGTGCTGAGGAGTTCGTCATCTAGTAGTGCATTAGCATCGACGGCGTGGAATGGCCGACCCCAAAAACTCGAGTGCACCATGATGCCGCTTTTAAAAGAAAAGTCATCGCGTGTGCAGAAACGGACGCAAATCGGGCCGCATCGCGGTCGTTCGGAGTTCCCGAAACGTGCGTGTGGGAACGGCGGAAACAAAAGCAGAAGATTTTCGACAGCAAAGCTTTACGTAAAGGCTTCAGTGGACCAGAGCAGGGTCGGTTTCCGCAAATTGAAGAGCTGCTCGGCGAGTATGAGATTGAGCAGTGAGCGGCATAGCGGCCCGTGACGACAGAACTGCTCCTAGTGCGGGCTATGCAGTTAGCCTTAGAAAAATGTCTAATGTGGAGCCAGTTTTAAGCGAGCAGGTGCTGGCGAACTACCTTTATGAAGAGGAAAGGCTTTTCCCTCCGAAGGGGAACATGCATATGCGAAAAGTTTTGCGGAGGAGTACGATGAAAAGCTTCACAGTTTTCAGAGGTTCGTCCTAAACTTGCGGCGCAACAACGGCTACCTGCTTGGGCAAATCGGAATGCCGATCAGACGCCTCTTTACCTCGACATGCCTGGCACCACAACCGTCGAGAAGAAGGGGGCGAAGCAAGTTCGCGTGCTGACATCGGTCCACGGTAAAACTACAGTGACGGCAATGCTCTGTTACACGTCAGATGGGCACAAGCTTCGCCCGTACCTCATATTTAAATGGAAGACGCTCCCGAAAGGAGTCGTTTTTTCGAGTGGTGTGATCATGCGGGCCAGCGAGAAAAAGTGGGTGCGCGTTGCAATCGATGTCTTACGTTTTTTTTTTTTTTTCGCGGTGGAAATCGGGTGCGCGTTACAATCGAGGGCGCGGTAGAATCGAGTAAATACGGTAATCTTGCATCATGAACCTCACAGCTTCCATTATATTGTAGCCCAGGCTGTTGCCACAGTAGTTCTGAGGATCAGCACTATTTACTTTTAGAAGGTGAGAAGCTAATAAAATTTTTGTCAGTGATAATTATTAGTTACTCGTATTTTTATAAGCAGCTCTGTGAATAAGTGCACTTTGTAGTTAAGTGAAAAGAGAGTAAATTTTGAAAAACAAGTTTCAAGTTTTTAACAAAGAACCCTGCAGATTTGGACAAGCAGTGTGTGGATAAGAGTGCATTATGACTGTAATTTGTGCACTTGGCGTCTCGTGAACCGAATTTTATTAAGGTAAAAGGTTTAAGTGCGTCATCTGATGCTAGCCTTGAAAATGATGTGTGCAGTACAGAAACTCTCATAACTTTGCACGCAATAGAAATAAACACTGGGGACCCAGGCACTGTGTGCGGCAGTAGAGCTTTTTGCCACACAATGATGCTGGTGTTTGAAATTTTTTCAGAAAAAGATCCTATACAGTTGTCGTGCAAGTCCAGATGTCAGGTTAGCAGGTGTAATAGTATTACATGAGAAGCATAGCACTGCACCAGGTCTTACATCCATGTGAATTGTGTAATGAGTGAGCTGTTGAAAGCTGCCCACTTATTCATCAGCTACAATTCGTTGTCACCACCAGCCACAGCATCAATGCGGTGTGCAGCTATGTAGGTACACATGTTGCCTCACACATGCTTAGTCTACCGTTAAAAAACTTCAGGTGGTCGAAATTTCCGGAGCCCTCCACAAGGCGTCTCTCATAATCATATCGTGGTTTTGGGACGTTAAACCCCACAAATCAAGCAATCAATCATCAATCGGATGCTTAGTCTACAGTGGACTTCTTTTAAACGAAACTTTAAGGGGCAAGAAAATTGGTTCCCCTTATGGGAAGTTTCATTTAAGCAAAGCTCACAAAATGAATGAAATATGACTTTATTTCAAAAGCACCAACTATGGCTGACTGGACAGAAACATTTTGAAGTACACAATACTACGGTAGTTGATTAGAAAAAAAAATATTTCTAATATTGCTGACTCGAAAAAAGGAGGTGATAACAATTTGCTTGAGCTCGTTCAAGCACTTTCTCACATAGTAAGAGTGCATTGCTAAAATGCTGGGCACGAACTCTGTGCCACCATCATGTTCAAAGTAGTGCTGCAACAGAATGACAGTATCTCTTGCTGCACTGTCAGCCACTGAAATTGGCTCGAGATCACACACCATCTCATTACCACTTGAGCACAGGTCCTCATCTTGAACTTCATCTATAGGTTCTTCAAGGCTGTCTGCTCAAGTTCACGACGAGATGTCGATTGCTTCTCGGCGTGCGCGGACATGTGCGATTGCTGGATTGGCTTGACTAGGCTAGCTTTTGCATTTGTTTAATGGTTGCTAGACTGCCATGGCCACTTCTGCCGTTCATTGATTTTGCCCATTTTCGTTTCATTTAATCGATATAAGCCAAGAAAAATGTTCCGGTTACCCAAAGCTTTTTATCGTTTAATATATAGGAGACCGACCAAATATGCCTAGATAGTTTTGTTTATGCGGCTTTTCCGTTTGACGGAGTTTCGTTTAACTGTACTTCATAATATGATGAATTAAGGCATAATGGGTACTTAGGTCGGAAGCTCACTGTGCGTATATATGATGATCATTAAAGCAAATTGAGTGAATAGTGAGTCAATTGGTGAAAGTTACATCACAGACAGTTAATTAGTAAATGTTAGATGTCAGTATAAATTGCATGGTAAAATAGCCACCTGGGTGGCTATCGTCTTCAAGTTGTCTTGGGCAGAAGCATAAGTGATCCTGCTAGTAAAAATATTTTTGTCATTTTGCACCCAATGCTGTCCAGTATTTCACAATTAAAATGGGCTTAAAAAGCCATGTGTTTTATAGAATGACTCAGATGCAGATTTTTAGCCCTCTTAATGCCTTCGGGCACTCTGTACACATTTGTGTACAGAACTTCTTGCTTGTGTCAACTAGCAGTCAGGAAAGACCAAGATAAAATGAGCTTTGGATGGGTTAAACATCCTGCATAATTAGTTTTTCTTTGTATAACTTTATTTACCTACATATTTCTGGAAATCACTTCGCTCAAAACTACCATGTTTAACAAATAAACTGTGGTGCTGCTTTTCAAGAGCCACATCAAAAGATTTAGGTTTTGCTCGTAATGACAATAACCTATAACAAGTTTCACAGGTGTTTCGAGCCTTAATTTTCTTTTTTTTTTTTGGAAAATTAGATTATGACTGGCTTCAGAATAAATACCCCTTCATTGATGTTCTAATTAATATGAATTGGTGAAAAAGGCAAACATTAATGCATAACACTGCTCCCTTATCACAATAGAATAACCAGTGCTTTGGAAATAAATTTTGTAAATATGATGCCTTTATGGGCAGTTCATAATTTGCATCTGAAGGGATTAGGTATGGGTACAGGGCTCACAGATCGTATTTGGAAAATATAGGGCTAAGTAATGCATACGGTTTCGTTTTCAGCATCTCCAGTTCATGCCATATCGGCATAATTTCGACTCCTACATCACAGCTTATATTATCTTTAGCAGTCTGCTTCATAGCTACATGACACAATGAGCAATTCAATTAATCATTGCAGCAGTCACACTCAAAAAAGAAAGACAGATTGCTGATGTCACGTTTCAGTTCATGAGGACTGTTCAGAGGACATTACTTTTCACACAGTGCACTTTATTGGATATTTTTCTGCTGTCCTCTTTCTTACGTCAGCCCCACCACGATGGTCTTGTAGCTAAGGTGGCTGCTGACCCGCAGGTCGCAGGATCGAATCCCGGCTGCGGTGGCTGCATTTTCCATGTAGGCAAAAATGCTGTAGGCCCGTTTGCTCAGATTTGAATGCACATTAAAGAACCCCAGGTAGTGTAAGTTTCCTGACCCATCCACTACGGCATCTCTCATAATCATATAGTGGTTTTGGGATGTCAAATTTCACATATCCATCATCAATCTTGCGTCAGAACCAAAGCAAGCAGCACAACTATGTTTGCTGTCATGGGATATGCAGGGCATAAGATACTTGTATAGTAATCTAACTCGCACATGTCTACCCAGTAAATACTGAGTTCAGGTATGTACATACTGGCATGACTTCTTGCTGCCTAGTTGCATTCACTGAATTTTTTAGCAATGTGAAACCTGAAAGCTTGCTTTCCCTTCTTATAATTAATGAATTGAATGCTGTGATTTCTTATAATGCAGAATATGGCTAAAACATTGGGTTCTATTTTTGCTAATTGAATCACCACAAACTGTGCATGCTTTGAACTTTATGTGTCAAGTGTGTAGTAGGGATTTGGGAACTATTTGACTTGGCAGGCACATATTTCAGTGTACGGGAACTTTGTTCAGCGCCCATGTGAGAGAGGGAGAGAGAAAGTAGATTGAGAGGGAGAGAAATGGGAAGAATGCTGCAGAAGGGTAACACGAGGCTTCTCTCCTGGTGTTGATGCCAAGATGGCCGACCCTCCCCAGGTGAAGTTCAGCGAGCTGACGCTGGACATGTTCCGGATGCTGCAAACGTTGGAACGAGAACCACAAGAAGATACAACACAGCTTTATGATGCTTCACCTGCTCCTGGAAGGGTACCTTTTGTACGTGGGTCCAACTATTTCCATTTTTAGAAACCTTCTTTTGCTCAATTAAGACTTAGGTTAAAAAGTTGAATGTCTTTGATGCTATGCTTAGTTTATGGATTCCTTGTGGTGCATGAAAGGCTGGGTTTTCAAGTCACCTACTTTGAATCATTTTTTATTAACTAATTTTGACACATTTTTTTAATATTATTATGTGGAATGATTATTTCAAAAATGTCCATTACTGTAGAAGCATATAGGTACACCAGGGTGTAAATTGTTCACTTGTGGTGCCGAAATAAAAAAAAATTCATCTCATTGCACCAAGTCTGCTTCAAAATGTGGAGCACTATTGCCTAAGGTGAATGCTCTCCTGCATCTACTCCCTTTCCTTTTTACCCATTGGTCTATAATATCTGCAAGCCTTTCAAGGGACTTGTACCGTCCCCTCTTTTTGGGGCCCCATCAATTATGCACACGTTTATATCCAGGAGGCTTATTTTGAATTCTGCTGTTGCTATCACACACAAGCATGAAGGAAAAGAGTGAGGAGGAGAAAAGGCAGGCACTATTGGCATGCACAGTGTAACAGAGCGTAGTTGTATAGAAAATAGTGACTTTACTTCACAGCCTATCTCTAGTGTTCGCATTGTGTGCTCTACGTTGGATCATAGTCGGCCATGTTTCAAGCAGTGTTTGTTGTGTGGAACATGCATGCATGTATCTTTCACTCTCTCTCTTGTAGTGTGACTCCCTCGAAAAGATAAGCATACATGTAGTAGACTCCTGTTAAACGGAAACTAAAGGGACCAGGAAAATGTGTTCTATTTAACAGGAGTATCGTTACTGGGATATGAACAGGAGTGCAGAATACTAGTACTTAACCAATCATATCAGTGACAGATGTTTCATTTAAGCAGCAATTTTGTTTAACAGATTTCTATTTACTGAGAGTCTACTGTACTTCTGTTTGATATTTTGATCATATTTTGTGCCACATAGCCATTTTACATTTTTAGACACAATCGTCAACTAGTGGTTTGTACATTGCACTTGTTTGTGTAAAGCCAAACCTGGTAACGAGCCTTTTTAGCTAAAAGAATAATTGCACTGTGTGCATCCACGCAATGAAGTAGTTCATTGTAGTGTTCAAGTACTATTTCATAGTAGTATTTCGTCATTGTTTGAATAAATAAGTTGTAAGTTTGTGTTCTATATGGAAGTGCGAGTGAAATCAATATATGGAACAACTCAAGGTCCATTGGTGCTCTTATATTCTTGACATAGCCACTGGTCTGTCTGCAGCCCGAGAATGGAGGCACAAGTGATAGCCGTCCTGGCAAGCGTGAGAACCCACACAAGTACCTGCTGTACAAGCCTACCTTCAGCCAGCTGTTTGTGTTCCTGGCTTCGGGCTTCAAGGAGCTGCCACCCAATGGTGTGCTGCTGCTCTATGTGTCTGCTGATGGCAGCTTTCCCAATGTTAAGCACCCTGAAGAGGGTAAGTGCTTGTTTGTGAATTGTCATGTATGCATAACTTGCCTGTCAGGCTCAATAGTCATCTGTTGAACAAGCTAAAATCCTAATAATTGGAGTGTTATGCACCCTAAAAGTCAGTAAAATTTTATGTCAATGCAGAGTATTTTTCAAATGCTACACCGCGATGTGTGAGATACTTGTGTACATTGCTGTGGGAACTGAAATATGAGACGGTTGCATTGTGTGATATGCCAATGTTGCTTGATAATAATAAAGTAAAAGTTCATTAATTTGAATCCTGTTAATTCGGCACATAAGAGTATTCAGGAGTGTTATCTAGTCCCAAGAAGTTTTTTTTATTGAACGGCATAAAATCGTGAATTTAGTCATATTTGGCTGGAATCCAGTTAATTCACACAATCCTCGGAGTGCACCAGGCACGAAGCACTACCAGTGTACGGCATAAAGAAGTGAAAATGACATTCACGAATGACTGAAGTGTGCACGAGCATTGAGAAAGGTGTGGTCAGCATCCACAATGTTATCAAAATCTCGTTATTGGTGTCGGAGACTTGAGCAGCTGTTGCAGACTTTTTCTTCAGATTTTACCCTGAATATGCAAACTTCGTGGGCACTATCTATGACCACGTCGATAGCGGTTGTAATCAAAGCTTCTACGGGCAGTAGTTTCGGTTACACTAAGGGCCTTCAGAAATGCCTGGTCATCGTACACCATTTTAGTGAGCCAGATTTGTTGAGCAGCAGATTTGGTACTCAGCAGCTTCGTGTTTATTGGAACATAGGCCATTCGTTTGCCTTCAGAACTGCATTGGTGCTATGATCGTGTCTTTAGCGACCATAGTTTCAACCAAAGTGGATGCAACATTGAGTATCTTCATTTTGACTTCAGGCAATGTGCGCACAATGTCACTAAACTGAAACATGGCAGAGGCTGTCAAAGACGAAGAGCTTCAGCCACAGTTTGCCTGCTGGCATAATACTTGCCGCATTATGTTGGACGAACGATCAGTTGCCAGTCAATTTTTCTTTTTTTGTGAAACAATTATTATGTAAACATAATGGTGTTGGTGGGGGTAGCACATGAGAATTCATGGGTTCAAAGCACGTTTTGTCTTAAAACGTGGGGGTCTTGAGTCTTTGTCACACTGTGGCAGTGAATCTTTAATATGTTTTTTTGTAGAGAACGTAAAATACAGGAATAAATGAAGGCACATATAGACAGACTGAGGGCTAACTTCCAACATAGTGTCACGGTTATTAGCCGTAAGCACAACAGAAGAGGGAGAAGCCAGCATCAGGAGTGGCAGTCTCTGGTGTTTTTCGAGGAAGACGACGCCGCGCGTCTGCTCTTGTGTTTTGTTCTTGTGTGCGAATAGACCCTTGCTGTTCATGTCGAAACGAAGCCTTGTGTCCTGTTCTTTGCACGTTGCGACACTGGTGGAGGCACTGGACCTCTACAACAGATGCTCGAGACTCCTCCGTGGCCCGGAACTTCAAGTCCGACACCGCAACCCGTTCCTTCAGCGGATACCCCTGTCTACCGCTACAGTCGTCGACAGCAAGCAAGGCCTTAGTCCTAAGGCGACTCCCTTGGAACTTTCCCAGCAAAGCGCTCCGCCTGGAGAAATGGCTACTGCAGGTGCTTCCCAGCTGACTTTTCAGCAGCCTCAGATTCCGGAGACATTCCATAGTGAGGCGTATAAAGACGTTGAGGACTGGTTAGCCCAGTATGAGCGAGTCACCCAGGCGAACCGCTGGAGCACCGAGCTAAAGCTTTCACACGCCTACTTTGCTTTAGCTGACAGCGCTCACTGTCTTCATGAAATGAATTTCGGCAGCAAATTCTCAGCACCTTCGCAAACAACGACCGCCTTGCCTTTGCTCAGAAACTCGTCGACTCTCGGGTCCAGAAACAGAATGAGTGTGTGTGTCGCCATGTTTGCGGAGGACATGACCGTCTATTTCGACGGGCTGACCCTGACATGCCTGAAGCCAAGAAACTCTGCCATTTGATGCGAGGTGTCAAAGAACAGCTGTTTGCCGGCCTTCCACCGATGACCGATCGGAATTCATCGAAAAGGCTACAGCTATCGAGCACGCACTGCAGCAACGGTGTCGCTATTACGACCGACTAAACGGCGCCTCAATCAGCATCTATGCTCTGACGGCTGGCAGTGACGGTTCTCTGCGTGAGCTTATTCGCGAGGTTGTTCCTGAGGAGATCCGCAGCTTCCTTGTGACTCCGCAAGAACGTGCGATGGCTTCAGTTGTAGAAGTTGTGCAGCAGGAAATCGGGCAAGCATTTTCGCAGCCTGAATCACTACCAGCCCAGCGATTTATTAACTATGCGGCAGCCACCCGTCGTCCGTCGTCAGTGCCGCACAACTTGTCTGCATTGGCTCATTCTTACAACGCACCGGCGGCACCAATCTACAACCCACCACCACCACCACCAACGACGACGACTCTGCAATATAACGCACATACTGAAACTCCGTTCTACACGCCGTTCTACCCTCCGCCGACACTTGAAACTTGGTCGCCGAGGGTGCCTACCAGTCGACGATTCGTTCGGAAGACGGATTTGTGGCGCACTGTCGACCGCCATCCACTGTGTTTAAATTGCAAAGAAGCTGGACATGTTTACCGCCATTGCCCATATCGTGAACAAAGATACCCGACCTATGCGCCGACTTTTTCAGGACCCCATTTCGACACCTGACGTGACAGCACGCATCCGCAAGCACAGCCATCCGCTCTGTATCGTCGACCCCGCTCTCCGTCACCTTCGCCGAACCGTCGTATTTACGCCGACGCTGTCCCGGGCAGGTCCCCAAGCCCTCATCGGGGAAACTAACAGCTGCGACCTTTGGAGGGAAGGTTGCCGCCTATCGAGATGCTGCAATACCTCCAGTACCAGTATGATACGATGAACGATGTGATGCCGCCGACCCCACAGGAAATCGTAAGCGCTGACCTAGCTGTTTACATAGACGGACGTCCTGTGACAGCACTAGTAGACACTGGCGCAGATTTCTCTATTATGAGTAGAATGCTTGCCGATTGGCTTAAGTTAAAACTTCATGGACGGGGCCTAAGATAAGAACCGCGGTGGGGCCAACTGATGTCACCAACTGGAAAGGGCACTGCCAGAATTAGTATTGGTGATTCAGCTTTCGTTGCCACGTTCATGATTTTGTCCGAGTGCTGCAAATACCTTATCCTTGGGATGGATTTACTGTGTGAATACGGCGCCGTCATAGACATTCCAGACAGGTCAGTTACGTTTTTGATGGCCCCAAATCAAGTTTCAGATATGAGATGTAACGACCAGCGACGTAAACTTCTTCGTGTCTTCGAAGATCACGTGACCCTTCCACTCCGCTCAAGAGCTCTCGTAGCTGTAACATGCGACCACCCAAGCAACTTCGACCACATCGCTGAACAAATTCCAGCATTGCTATCCAGCCATGGCCTATCTATTGCAAGAGCCGTTGTAAGCCTCAATTGTGCACACACGCACGTTCTGGTTACGAACTTCAGTACTAAGCGACGAAATCTTGCAAGAGGTGCGGCAGTCGCGTACGTGGAGAAGCTCACTGAGGTTGCAGGCTGCTTGACTGTGGAGAAAGACGATGTCACCGGGTCAGCCTTTCTATCCGTCGACGTTGGACCAAGTTTACTGCCCCCGCAGAAGCAAAGCCTTCTGGAGCTTATTAATGAGTTTGAGGACTGTTTTTCTTCGACGTCCAGAGTTCGCCAAATGCCGTTGACGAAACATCGCATAATTACGGATGAAACGGCCAAACCCATACAACAAAACCTATACCGAGTAGCTTCGCGGGAACGTGAGGCCATAGAAAGTCAAGTGCGAAAGATGCTTCAGGATTACATTATTCAGCCATCAAAAAGTCCTTGGGCATCGCCGGTAGTATGGGTGAAGAAAAAAGACGGCACCTTAAGTTTCTGAGTTGATTACCGCAAGCTCAATCAGGTTACGAAAAAGGACGTTTACCCGCTGTCTTGTATAGACGATTCTCTCCATCGACTACGCCATGCACGGTATTTCTCATCTATGGATTTACGGAGTGGATATTGGCAAATAGAAGTTGTCGAAAGAGATCGAGAAAAAACAGCATTTGTGACACCAGGTGGTCTTTATGAGTATTAAGTTCTCCCGTTCGGCTTGTGCTTAGCACCGGCAATGTTTCAGCGGCTCATGGACACAGTCCTATCAGGCCTGAAGTGGCAAAAATGCCTGGTATATTTGGAGGATGTAATTGTATTTTCAGCGACATTTGACGAGCACTTGAAGCGGCTACTCACGGTATTTCAAGTGATACAATCGGCCGGACTAACGTTCAAGCCAGAAATATGTCACTTTGGCTTCGTAAAGCTTCTTTTGTTGGGACATCTTGTCAGCAGTGAAGGTGTACAGCCTGACCCAGACAAAATAGCCGCTGTTGCAAGTTTTCCCATGCCATCAGACAAGAAGGCAGTGAGGTAATTTTTAGGCCTGTGGGCCTATTACCGACGCTTCATTAAGGGTTTTTCGTGTATTGCATCGCCTTTTACACAACTCACCTGAGAAAACGTCACATTCGTGTGGGGTGAACAGCAGCCGGCAGCGTTCATCAAGCTGTGACAAGGTCTTCAAAACCCGCCAGTTCTCGGACACTTCGACGATGACACTCCGACAGCGGTTCCCCAGACGCCAGCAATGTCGGCTTAGGAGCTGTGCTCGTTCACTGGCAAGATGGCGTCTAACAAGTAATTGCTTATGCCTGTAGGACTCTCTCCCGTACAGAGGAGAATTACTCCACTACTGAAAAAGAGTGTCTTGTGGTGGTGTGGGCGGTCATGAAGTTTCGCCCATATTTGTACGGCCGTCCGTTTGAAGTTATCAGCGATCACCACTTGCTTTGCTGGTTGACGAACATAAAGGACCCGTTAAACCGATTGGCGCGCTGGAGCCTCAAGCTTCAAGAATTCGATATAGTT